GTGCTTGCTCTTCATCAGGCCCACTTCCTCCCTTTTCTTCCCGCTTCAGGTCAGCCCCACCTTCATCTCATCTCAGCAGCTGCTGTTTGCTGCCTGTCACCCCTGAATGCAAAGCTAGTCTTTATGCATCTGCTTGGAGCAGGGAGTCAGGGCTGGGGGATGGGAGGCATCTGGCCTCACAGATGGTGAGCAGTGCTGCCCCCCTCAGGCCTCAGGCCTTGCTCCAGGCTCTCCCCAGTCTCTGCATTTGCAGTCCCAGGTGAGGTGGCCAGCCCAGAGATCAGATGGCTGCCCCCTCCCTACTCTGCCTTCCTTCCAGGCTCACACAGAAGTGCACTCTGCCTGCTCCCTACACCACCACTGCCCCAGTCCCTGGGCCTCAGATCTTAGAAGAAAGATGAAGGCATTTCAGAGGCCCAGCCCAGCCCCAGTGATGAAGGCCCAAAGAGGGTGGTCAGGAAAAGAAAAGGGACCAAAGTGCCTCCAGCCTGAGCTCCTTGTGTTCAGGAACGGGCAGCTATGGAGCACTTACTGTGTGCCAGGCCCTGCGAGAAGCCGTGCACAGGCTGACATCCTCATGTGCTCATTATAAGTCCGTGGCCAGTGTGACCAGCGCCCTGTCTACAGATTAGAGAGGTCAGGTGGCTTCTCCTTTCTCACCAGAGCCGAGATCCAGGCCTAGATCCATCTGATTGTTGCACAGCCTCTCCCTGTAACCACTGAGCACCCTGCCACCCATCCAGACGGGCACTCAACTTGGTTCAATCAACTTTTGAAGCAAATTACCTTTATTGTTGAAAGTATTACAGAGCTCCCTTTTCCCCATTGACCTCCTCCACCCACTCCTGCCCCCTCCCCAGGCCAACCAACGTTTAATAAAATGCTGTAGCAAGAGAACGAAACCCAGGCAAGCTAGATGGAGAGGCTGTGAACAGGGTGGAAGTGAGGGAGGTTGTCGAGGATGGGTCAAGGGTGAGCAGGAAAGCAAATGTTACTCTAGAAGATTCTTTCTGAGAAGGGGGAACCCAAGGGCTGGGAGGTGTGACTGAGCTCCTCCAGGCCCTCATGCGACTCCTTGGACCAGGAATAAACTTGAGAAGGACTGTGCCGCAATGGAGCAGAAATTCATAATCTGACTCAAGATGAACTTCACCACGCTGACAAGGGACTCCTGCACCCAGTTCAGCACATCCAGCCACGTCTTCTGCAGTTGACTTAGCATCTCTTGGAACAAACTCAGTACCTCTTCACAAAAGCTCTTCCCAGTCTTCTGGGCCCCTGTGAGAGAGACTAGTTAGGAAGCCAGGGCAAGTGGAATAGGGAAACTGAGGCAGATGGTTAAGCAACCAAGCCTTTATAACCATCTAGTACATTGCAAAATCCTGTCTTCCCTAACCAAGGACACAAGAGTAAATGGTTTAGCCCTAACCGGTTTGGCTCAGTGGATAGAGCGTCAGCCTGCAGACTCAAGGATCCCAGGTTCGATTCCAGTAAAAGGCGTGTGCCTTGGTTGCGGGCACATCCCCAGTAGGGGGTGTGCAGGTGGCACCTGATCGATGTTTCTCTCTCATCGATGTTTCTAACTCTCTATCCCTCTCTCTTCCTCTCTGTAAAAAATCAATAAAATATATTTTTTTAAAAATGAGTAAATCGTTTAGAGCATCATCCCATACACCAATACAGGTTGTGGGTTCGATTCCCAGTCAGGGCACACACCCAGCTTGCAGGTTCAATCCCTGTTCAAAGCAAATACAAGAGGCAACCAATTAATGTTTCTCTCTCACATAGATGTTTCTCTCCTTCTCTCTCTCTTTCTCTCTCTCTCCGCCTTCCTCTTTCTCTAAAATCAATAAACATGTCCTCAGGTGAGGATTAAAAAAAAAAAAAAGACTAAGTGGCTCATACTTCTCCCCCCAAAATGGAATAAATAGCTTAAATCACCCCACTCAGGGAGACAGATAGCAGAAATCTAATTAGTGCCAACCACACCCAAGCACAGGTAAAGTTAAAGCAGTGGTTCTCAACCTTCCTAATGCCGCGACCCTTTAATACAGCTCCTCATGTTGTGGTGACCCCCAATTTCATTGTTACAAATTGAACATAATTAAAGCATAGTGATTAATCACAAAAACAATACGTAATTATATATGTGTTTTCCGATGGTCTTAGGCGACCCCTGCGAAAGGGTCGTTTGACCCCCCCAAAGGGGTCGCGACCCACAGGTTGAGAACTGCTGAGTTAAAGGAACACATCTCATTTTGGCACATCAGCATAAAGCTGATGAATATTCTATTGAGATCCTTCCCCAAGACCTCCTCTAAACTCCCAGCCTTTAAACCCCTCAACACAAAGGACCAGGAGCAAGCCCACACCTTTCTTCCCTTTTAGGCATGCATCCTCTAAACCCGTGGTCAGCAAACTGCGGCTCGCGAGCCACATGCGGCTCTTTGGCCCCTTGAGTGTGGCTCTTTCACAAAATACCCCATGTGGGTGTGCATGTACAGTGCGATTGAAACTTCGTGGCCCATGTGCAGAAGTCGGTATTTTGTGGAAGAGCCGGAATTTTGTGGAAGAGCCACACTCAAGGGTCCAAAGAGCCGCATGTGGCTCGCGAGCCGCAGTTTGCCGACCACTGGCCTAAACTCTGGGTCCCCGGGAGACTTGCAACCAGAGGAGCAGTGGGCAGCAGCAGCTCATATGGACTGACCCCCTCAAACCTGTCTCCTAGGCCCCCGTTTTTCTCTAAATTAACAGTGAGCAAAAGCAGCCCTGTCTAGGCTCTCTGCTGGTACTGCTTCTATCCTAAGCCCTACTCGTTTCACTGTCCCCAGCTTTAATAAACATCCTCTTGCCCTAGCCAGTTTGGCTCAGCGAATAGAGCTTCGGCCTATGGACTGAAGGGTCCCAGGTTCGATTCCGGTCAAGGGCACATGCCCAGGTTGTGGGCTTGATCCCCAGTGTGGGGAGTGCAGGAGGCAGATGATCAATAATTCTCTCTCATCATTGGTGTTTCTATCTCTCTCTCCCTCTCCCTTTCTCTCTGAAATCAATAAAAATATGTATTTTTAAAAATAAACAAAAACAAACATCCTCTCAAAATCACCTGGACTTTGGTTGGGCGATCCTTCTGGCTCAGAGTCCTGCTCCGGGCCCGGTTTCTGTCCATGGACCCTGTTACGCAGTTCCTGCTGCTGCTCCGGAAGTAAGGGAGTAGATTCCTGTGGGGATGGGGCATGTGTAGGGTCCGACCAGGTCCTGACAGAAGCTCACACAGGGAGCTGCCTGCTTTCTTGCCGGCAGTCCACAGACAAAAACTTCTCACAGAGGTTCAGCGCCCCAACTCCCCTTTGTAGCTAAACCACGATGGTCGTACCTGCTTGTTGGCTGACTGGCCTCTGAGGCCAGCACCAGGCCCAGGGGGTTCCTCATTAACGCATGAAGTTGAGGGCAGGGCTTTGGCCACTGCGTGCTGGGAGGGGAGGTCAGGAGCTGGTGCCAGCCACCCTCCACCCCCACCCCACTCAGGGGCTGTGTACGCACATGGCAGCGCCAACATCACAAGCGATTAGGGGTGAAGGGGAAGCACAGAGGGCTGTGACAGGAGCCTCAGACTCACCTGGTTGTTCTCACAGTGAGCAAATACAATATCAAGCGCGGCCTCATTGAAGTTGTTCTGAGGAGAGGAGGGTGTGGAGGCTGCAGACCTGCTCCTGCCTGCTGTGGTCTGTAGTCCCCACTGTGACCTCCAAGGGAGCCAAAGCTCACCCCAATAACCTGACTCAGCCAAGTTCCTGGGGACTAAGCTTTGGGGGAGAGGGGAAGCCAAAACTCACCTTCAGCTGTTCTATGCCTCTGTGGGCCTATTGGGAAAAAATGACTTGGTTTAAATTCCCCTGGCCTCCCTCACTTTCAGTCTTATCCCCTGTTCTCAGCTCACCGTCTCCCCATAACTGGTCCAGCCATGTGCCTGGGGACCTGCTCTGTCATCAATATACCTATGACTATGACACCTCTCAGGCTCCTTGGGCCTTCCTATCCCGCACCTGTGTACTCACCCACCACACAGGTGTGAATTTTGTCCAGTGTAAGGAATGAGCCAACCTGAGGTGGCACCATCATCATCATCATCATCATCATCATCATCATCATCATCATCATCATCATCATCATCATCATCATCATCATCATCATCATCATCATCATCATCATCATCATCATCATCATAACCTGAGGTGGCACCTTCATCATCATCATCATCATCATCATCATCATCATCATCATTGTGAAACCACCCCACCCAAATTGTGCAGAGCACAGGAGTGGGAACCCTGACCCACCTGCTCCATATCTTGGCATTTGAGTTGATCACAGAATATGTCTATACCCTTGTGCTGTAAAAAGAGAGAGAGAGTTGGGACAAAGAGATCTGATCCTTCTCCCTCCTGGACCCCAGGAGGGCCAGAACATTCTTACCCTCCCACAGTAAAACCCAGGCCCCCGCCCACACCCTATCTATACATGGGGAAGAGCTTCTTACCATTTCACTCCTCATTTTCTCACGATCGTCTTCGGATATCTGTCGAGGTAACAGTGACATTGATCTTATATGACTTACCAACCCTCAGACCTGTTGTACACATGTTCACACACTCACACTCACCATTGCACACAAGCGTACAAGTATGAACATTGTTCTGGAGTGTACAGGGCAATTTGGTTCCCAGATACCCAACCCTCTATGGTACTGGTGTGGACGAAAGGGGCCACATGTTGACCTGACAAGCTCAGGGGAGGCCTGCATGGCAGTCTTGCAAATTCAGAGACCTAAAGTAACCACAAAGGATGGTCTGAAATTAAACTTTGACTAAAAGCAATTATGGTGGGCAGTTACGTCCTAGGTCGGTATCTTCACTGACAAGGTCAACCTTTACCTTAACTGAGCCCATCTGTCTTTTTGCATCTATGATAACATACCCTTGAAATGTCTGGGTAACTTGTAACTTCCCTTTTTCTGGATCCCCTGGGCACAACCAAAAGCACTGGGCGCCAGAGCCAATACCAAAATTCCTTCATTATCATGTTAATTGTTCCTGCACCCACCTAAGTATGTGTCCATCATTTTACTTTTTATCCAATCCCAGGGGTTTCCCCTGCTTTGCTTTATCACACCTCCTTAATCTATCACCAATGAATTCCTGTAACCCACCCACATCCCTCCTTTGATTGCAATGTATAAATACAGATGTAACCCACCATTCTCTGGAGCATTATCTCAATTTGTTGAGGTTCTCCTTCCCTGCATATGTCAACAGTTTAGCTCAAATAAACTCACAAAAATTCTGTACAGGTTTCAATGCTTTGTGTTTTTGTTTGTTTGTTTGTTTTTATGTTAACACAGGAAAGAGTTGGCTGAGGGAGGAATTGGCAGTGACCTTCCCTCTCTGAGGAGGGGACAGACACAGCGGTGCCTACATCCAGCTGCTCTTCCTGACTGCTGACCTTGCAGGCCCACAGCACCCCAGGCCCCTTTCACCCCTAACCCCTTGGCTCAACCAACGAGGCAGGGAGTACCCCATAGACTTCCTCAAGAGTCTCCACCTTATGGCCCCAATCTGGTCACTGAGCCCTGGATCACTTTATTCCTCAATGATGATTCCAGGATCCCTTGGTCACGATCCCAAAGCATCCTGGAGCATCAGCCAACCTCACGGTTAGGGTGCGGGTGGGGCTGAGGGCCTGGTAGGGTGTGGGGAGGTTGGAAGGCACCACAAAAAGGAGGAATAGACACTGAGGCCAATGCCAGTACTGGGCTGCTGGCCCAGGCACCTGAGAGGATTTTTAAGTTCCTAGGAAAGCACTGCTCACCTCCCACCTTCAGGGTTTTAGGATATAAAGGGTCTACTGGGATTGGTGTTTCTTCTCACCTACAGACCCTCCATTCTCCAGCTCTTCCCACAGATATGTCAGGTCTAATTATTAAAGTAACACTTTGTCCTGTTGAGGAGGAAACTGGTCTTGCAAGGTGTGTCAGGCCATAAAAACTGTGAACAATGCACTGCCCTGGGGTGGGGGGCTGGTGAGGGGGAAGGTCATTATCGCTGGCCCCAGGACAGATCATTGGATATGCCCTGGGGACCCCCAACACCTGGGGGCCTTCCTATAAGCCCACAAAAGGGGGAGGAACCATATCTGCAAGTCAAAGACCCCAGAAGGTTATAAAAAGTGAAGCCCTCTGCATGTTACTTCACTCTTATTTGGAAATTATTTCCGGAGTCCACTAGTGTTAATAAATGGGGTTCCTGCCTTTCTCTAGGAAATGTGCTTGATATTTCTTTGGTCTTCTGAAACATATGGTTCCCTGACCCGAAAGCTAATCGCGTTTGGTTCTTGCCTCCAGTGAGTGGACAGGGTTTGGGGCCCCGGGAGCATGGGACAGGCCTCCGGAAGGCTCCTGCTGCTGATTTTAGCAGAATTGAATGGGGGGGCGGGGAGACTCCAGACGCTCCCAGACCTCAGCCCAGGACCTGGCCGGCATCTGGAGAAAGTGGACGGACACCTCTGAACTTGTCGACAGAATCTGTAAGGTAGGGGCCCCAGTCAGTCAGGCCCACTCCAAGTGAGTGGAAGGGGGAGCTTGATCACCTCCCTGGAAGTCATAGGACTTCGTCAGGTAAATCAGGAATCAGGACTTTGGCGGTGAGTGAATTCAGATTTGATTAAGGAATTACGGGTTCACTCTTCTGTTTGTGTGTGGGACTAGCCAATTTGCTACCGAGAAGGGGGGCTGGACACAGCTTTAACTCCTCTGGTAGGTTCTCACCGACACGTGGGTTGAGAATTCTGGTCTCGGGTGTGGATGCCAGGAGTGCCCCCATGCCTATCTGGGGAGTTGGGCATTACCTGCTCAGCTCCAGTCTGGGCTAGTCTGAGAGAGTGTGAGTACGGATGTTTGTCTGTCTTGGCATAATTATCTGCTGATTAACTGGTCTGTGTGAAAGC